AGTCATCAGATTTAGCAAATAATACTACAGGACATCCAATTAAATTTCAATTTCAGTCACAAAAGAACTAATAAATTCAGCTCAATAAGTAACTTTTAATATAGTTGCATTCTAAGATATACTCAATGAGTTACTCATTATGGTTTGAAATTCAAATTTAGTTGATCATCATGTAATGTAGACCTATCTCTGGTTTACTTATTGCCAAGAATTAAGAAGGTGCTGTGAATGCTGAATGTTTAGCATATGCAACTGAGATAAAACTTAGGTGGGTGAAGTGGACTGAAACTTCATCCACAGACCAATGGGAAATCAAGAAGTCAATGAGGAAAACAGAAATGACAGAGATAAATCTATAGACAGGCTGGTAAATATAAGGTCCTTTGTTTGGTCCAGGCTTCCTGCTAGCTACCAGCTGCTCAGGAAATTTCATACAATAGACTGTAATCATTAAGAGCAGGTACTTTAGAGTCCTATGTCCCTAGGTCTAATCCCCTACCCTGGCTCATACATGATTTACAACTCTGGACAAATTACTAGACCATTTCAAGCTTGAATGCCACTGTATAATAATAGTAGCCTCCCAGTAGCTTTGTTCATATGTTGTATTGAGTTTGTCACCTGACCATAGTATTCAGCCTATTATTACTACTAGTTCTAATACTGTTTGTGTGGTCAGATACTACTTCCTTCTCTGGGACAACCCAATGCTGAATAAAATAGGATAGAATATAATAAAATAGAAAGGGTAGAATAGAAGAATAGAACACAATAGAGTAGAATTTTTTTCCTTTGCATGAGCAAGACACTATAATACCTATTGTATATGTTTTCTCATTCCTTTTTTTGTTGTCAGTTGTGAGGCCTTAACTCTGGTTCTGGGCGCTGTCCCTCAGCTCTTCAGCTCAAGGCTAGCGCTCTACCACTAGAGCCACAGCACCACTTCTGGCTTTTTCTGCTTATGTGCTGCTGAGGAATTGAACCCAGGGCCTCATGCATGTGAGGCAAGCACTTGACCACTGAGCTACCCTCCCAACCCATGTTTTCTCATTCTATCCACCAAACAACCCCAAGAGACACATTACCTCTTTTATGGACAATTGGATCCAAGACATAGATAAATTAGGAAATATTTTGATGTCTCAACATTAATTTTATACTAAAATTTCTCAGTAAGTTTTGTAACCAAGTTAGATAAAGTTCTTTCTTGCCCTTAGGTATGACTTTTTTCCACTCCAGGCTGACATTCTATGACTTGAGCCACATCTTTACTTACACTTCACTTAGTTATGAAATAGTCACTGAAATTAAATAACTTACTCCTTTCATTTGTATCTCTCTCTTTTTTAACAGTTAAACTAAATTTGGCTTAGGATGGAATTTTATTTGGCCACAGTACACAGATACATGCAAAATGAACTATTAGAATAGTCCAGACTGCCATTCTAAAATATATTTATTAATCCATTTCTTCAATACATATCTATTGGGTATATTCTACATACAAACTACCTTGCTAGAAATTGAAACTATTTCAGTGGAAAAAAAAACAATCCAGAATCCTTCTCTATTGGATTTACCTAACTCTTAGGAAAAGATGGATCAGATAATCTTTACCATCTATGAAGAAATAGTACAGTTTGTGAATAACTACAATACAAAGATCAGACTTAGATTACAGATCACCGAAGTTTTCATTACAATGCTGTCATTTTAGCTGAGGCCTACAATCAGAAGGAAGAAGTCATGAGTAGAAAGAAACAGCGATAAGGGAGGTAAGGGCTTTGAGAGCATTGAATGGACATCACACAGTTAGCAGTGCTGACCATGAGGCAGGATGGCCACCTGATGCTCGGACAATGCTCTTTCCTTGACATCAGAGCACCAACAGCAGCCGACGTGGGCTGCCACCCACCACATTCAGCTGCTCTTCACGAGAAACTGGCAGAATCTTACTGTAAATTAAATCTTTTCAGTATCTAGAGCTGTTGTTTGCCAGGATAGTGGAAAGTTAGAAAAATGTATCTCTCCTGGAATATCATCATATGTTATCGCTTACCAGCTGAAAACAGCTGTATGACAGAACTCATGGCATGGCTTAAAAAATGTCATTTCGCTAGTAGCCCAGTGCTGCACACAGTAGAGTCCCAAATCAAGTGGCTAGCTCTAGATCCCCCTTAGGTACAGGATAGGGCCTGAGTCTTCCCAAGGAGAGCATTTGGAGGGGTCCAGGAAGCCCAGTTTATAGAAGGTGCAAGAAAAGCTGCTTGACGTCCTTCAAGAAGTAGTTTGGTGCCTTTTGAAGAGTTCAAATGAGGACAGGCCTTAACCTAAACTTGGCCTAGGAATCCTGGAATAATCTACTTTTCCCATAGCTCAGCTAATTTTCATATTCATAACAATGTTCATACTCCATAAAGTACCAGTTTGGGGGAAATCTATACATCTGTGTACCTCCAGGCTCCAATCCCAATTAACCTTAGTGTTTTTGAGTATAATTAGTATCACCTAAACTTCAACCATGTTAGTACTTTTAAGCATTTACCTTTACTTTCCTCCACAGAGTCACAGCCACTGTCAGAAATTTGCTTTTATTACCATGTCTGTTTTTGTGCTTTAACTGCATTCTCAATCCAGTTCCAGTGCATTCATGAGTCATTTGGAAACTCGCTGTTCTATATAAGATCTAGACCAATGACTTAGATTTGGTTCATTAATTTTTAACTGTTGTATGCTGTTTTATTGGAGAAATAAGCTATGATTTATGTACTCAAAAAATGAGGGCATTTTAAACATGTTACATGTATCAGTAGCTCACTTTCCACATATCCTTCCACCAAATGCAAATAAACAATATATTTACTTATTGTTTTTCTTTTGAAAAAAGTGACAAATAAAAGGACCACAACAATGAGGGCCTACAGTGGAGGAGAGAGATTAAACTCAACTTCCACCTTCCTCTTCCTCCTCCTCCTTGTCCTCCTCTTCTTCCTCCTTCCTCCCCCTCCTTTTTCCTCTCCCTTCTCCTCCTCCTACCTCCCCGTTATTCTCCTCCTTTTTCCTCCTCTTCATTCTCTACTTTTCCTCCTCCTCCTTTTTCTTCTTGTTTGTGGCACTAGGATTTGAACTCAGAGTCTTCCACCTGCTAGGCAGGTAGTCTACCATTTGAGTCACATCTCACTCCATTTTCAAATTTTACATAAATACACTACATGCTCATTTTGAGACTTAATATTCTCCTATTTTTGTTTGAGATCTATGACAATTATTTAGATTTGGTTTCTGGAGGAGTGAAATGTAATAAAAATCCTCTGCCACTAAGAACTCTAAGGACTCAGAAGCATCCTAAGTGTTTATCAAGAGATGACTAGAGCCGAGTGCTGGTGACTCACACCTGCAATCCTAGCTACTCAAGAGGCTGAGATCTGAGGATCGCAGTTCAAAGCCAGTCCAGACAGGAAAATATGTGAGACTCTTACCTCCAATTACCCACCAGAAAACTGGAAGTGGTGCTGTGGCTCAAGTGGTAGAACACTCACCTTGAGCTGAAGAGCTCAGGGATAGTGCCCAGACCCAGAGTTCAAGACCCACGACCGATACACAAAAACAACAAAACAAGCAAACAAAAAAGGAGATGACTAGATAAAGGAAGTGTAGTCTGTATGGATTAGAAACTGTCCACTATTTAAGAGGAAGGCAGGCCTGTTTTTTTTTCAGCAACATGGAGAAACGTCACGGCCATTATGTTAAGTGAAATAAACCAGACCCAGAAAGACAAAATCATATGGCCTTTCTTTTATGCTAAATGCTCTAAAAGTAAACTCATAGAAGTATATACTACAATGATAGTGACCAGAGGCTGACAAGACAGATTAGAGACATTTTCAAAGGACACAAAATAACGGTTAGATAAAAGGAATAAACTCAAGAGACCTATCATACAACATGCTGACTGTAATTATTAAGAATTGTATACATGAAAATTTCGGAGTGGATTTTAGGATCTCTCACCAAAAGTAAATGATACGTATATGACGTAATTAGTATGCTAGTTAGTATGACGTAGCCATCAACCATGCATACATACTTCTTTGTTGGCACTCTACCACTTGAGCCCCAGCTCCACTTCTGGCTTGTTGGTGGCTAATTGACAATAAAAGACTCATGGGCTTTCCTGCTCAGGAAGTCCTTTCCTCCCCATGATCCTCGGATCTCAGTCTCCTGAGTAGCTAGGATGATAGGCATGAGCTTGGTGCCTGGTTCATTCTTACATATTCTTAAATCATCATGATGTACACCACAATTATGTACTTATGATTATTGCATTTCTTACTTTTAGGTAAATAGACAGATCCATGGGCTAAAGAAGAAAGCACTAAAAGACTTGGTTAACAGATAGTGGCTGAAAGGTCCTGTGGGGCAGATGATAAAGAAACAAGCTCTAGCAAGGTCAAGATAAAATGGTTAGCATGAAAGTCTCATTTGGGCCCACACCTAAGTGATAAACAGGAATGCTTGGAGGGGTAATGATGAGAAAAGTATCCCAGACAGAAGAAAAGCAAAGGAAGACATGGAGGATGGAAGAGCATTCTCAAGGGAGAATGAAGATGGAAGCTGAGGGCACTGGTAATGGGGCAGGCACACTGCCAAACTGATCTGTTGCTTACTACTTGATACTGAACAGCAGTTCTGCCTGATGTCCACCCAATTATGCATAATGACATTAAAACTTCCCCTAAGACATGTGCTCCAATGTCATTCATGGATGCATATTTTTAAAGGAAAAATGTTGATCCTCTTCTTTGAAAAATAAAAGCCTTCTGGTTCGGAAAGATAGGGCAGAGCTTCTTAGTAGAGATCCTGGAGCAAGCTCTGCAGACTGCTTGTGCAACCACCTAAATTCCATAGCAGATGAAGTCACCTGTACCTGCCCTATAAATGAAGCTACGCTTCAGGTACGCTGGAGCAATTTATCTGCATCAATACCCCGCACTACAAGAATGGCTGTCTCAGGACTTCGGCAGACAATTGTATTAGGGCTGCTTGTCTTAATCCTGACCTGCCATGCAGGTAAGTGATTCTCTGATCATAGCTCATGAGTTTTTCAGTACTTAGCAGTGGAGTGGAGGAAGTTGCCATTGATCCAAGACATAAAGAGGGATGGGCCCTGATCACACAGAAAGAGCACTGGACTGGGAAACAAGAAACATTTCTTTTATCAAAGAACATTTTCATTGCAATCTCCTTTAGTTAAATCCTCCGTATTTAGTATTCCTAATGTATAACATTAGGAATATTTTTTTCTTATATACTTGTGATACTTCAATACTATAAATTCTCTGAGCCCTTGTGGGTATTTTGATGACCATAATATTCAATGGTGAAGAATATGTACTATGCACTAAGATTCATATTCTGGCTCTATACTAACCAGAAATATAAATTTAGGCATACAATTTTATCTTTCTGAGCATCATATAGACAAGTTAAGATTACTACCACATAAAATAACCATTAAAGTTAAATAAAAGAGATAGACTAAATTCAGATAGTACTTAATAATAACTCAGTATAATCTTAGTTGATGTTTATACAAACCCATTAAGTAAATTTTCACAGTTTTGTCACTTGATACAAGCAAGCAGAAGTAGCATCTAGCATTGACTTATAAAGGTCTACAAAGCAATGCACAGTATTGTTATTGTTATGTTTTTTTTTGTCTGTAAAAGAGGGCAAGTTCAAGACTTTCCCCTATTGAGCATGATGGGTCAGAAACACATACAGAGAAATGATTTAGCAGAAGAGTTCTTTGACTGTAATGTAGCAGCGTGCTCATCCCAGGCCATGGTCTAGGACAGCAACACACATTCTTTTGCTGTATCATTTGCAGATACCAGCAAAGGAATTACCCAAGGGTAGGACACAGATGTTTATTGATCATTACTGAAGTAATCAATATATTGAAGTGATTTTTTAAATTTTTATCCTAAAGACTACTTTCAACAAGTTCTGTTTCTCTTAAGTCTGTAACTATGGTTAAATGAGCTTACCTTTTGGCCCTCAGTTTCATCAATAAAGTGAGGTAGCTTTCATTTTCACTACATAATTATGACCATGATTTATAATCACACTGTACACTATAAAAACTATTCAAATAGCAGAAACACTGTATTTGTTCAGAATTTAATAATCACATTTGACTAAAATAATACAACCAGAGAAGTGACATAAATAAAAGGCATTCATTACATTTGAAAAGAAAAAATACTTTTCTTTAGGATTTAATATTTTGTTTCTAGCTGTAATATTTTTGAATTGTAATAACATTTTTGTTGTACTTGGATCTGAACTAAGAGCCCCACATTTGCTAGGGAGGTGGTCTACCTCTTGAGTCACTCTGCTAGCCTATAGTAGCATTTTTAACCTTTGTAATGTCCTAATGTCTCAGCAGAGAGAATAAGCTACAAATAATTTTGTTGGCATTATCATGAATAATAGTAATAATAATGAAGACCATAAGTACTGTAGTAACTAGTATGTCATTATGTAAATAAATACATATATATGCTTATGTATGATATGTATGAGAGATATGCAAAAATACCTTCATTGCACAATGAAGTAACTAGGAGACAGTGGTTAAGCATCACATGCATTTTTACCTAATTAATATTCTGTTGGAAACAAGAAACAAACTCAGGTTGTTGGACTGTTAAGCCTGTGAAGATTGCATTCTTTTCAAAAGATTACTGCAAGGTTATGTACAGAGGGGTTACAGTTACATAATTAAGGTAATGAGTACATTACCCTCTCCCTCATTTTCTTCCCCTTCCCCACCGCAACCTTCCTCCCCCCAAGTTGTAAAGTCTATTTCCAACACAGTGTCTAGCGAGTGTCACTGTTGCATTGGTTCACCCTTTGTCCCACCATTTCTTGTGATTCCTCTTCCCATCCCCAAATCAGATAAACTTATATACAAGACAAAGGGTATAGAAATAAGAAACAACGACAACAGGGAATAAACCAAAGGAAAAAAAAGAAAGAAAAGAAAAAAAAAGAACCAAAAACAGTACAATAAAAACACTCTTATTTCCATTTCTTGGAGTTAATTTCAATAAGTATCATTTTGTATGATCATATGCACATAGCTATTGAACTATTGTAAAACTCTACTAAAAATATCCTAGACCTATTCTAGTTATTACAAATGAGGGAAACCATACAGCCTATGATTCCACCTCACCCCTGTTAGAATGGATATAATCAAGAAATTTAATAACAATAGATGCTAGAGGGGATGTGGCCAATGGGGAAGGCTACTACACTGTTGGTGGGAATGTAAACTTGTTCTATCACTCTGGAAATCAGTGTGGAGATTCCTTAAGAGATTAACATAGAGCTTCCCTGTGACCCAGCAATCCCACTTCTGAGCACTTACCCAAAAGACCATAAACCAGGCCACACTAAAGCTACCCACACAATCATGATCCTTGCAGCATTATTTACCATAACTAAAATATGGAATCAACCCAGTTGTCCTTCAGTAGATGAACGGATCAAGAAAATGTGTTATATATACACAATAGAATTCTATGTTTCCATCAGAAAGAATGACATTGCCCTATTAGTAAGGAAATAGAAAGACTTGGAAGACTACATTCTTTTACCTCTCCATTTATATGCGGTCCTAAGACTGAAGCTAAGATTCTGCTCTTCATTCTCCAATCTCAAGCTCCATAGATAAAAAATACTAGTGTTGTATGAAAGGTAAAAATCCAAACTAAATGACTATGCAATTAGGTTGATAGGAACATAGGAAAAAAAATAAAGAGCTCTGACCTTAAATTGGTGAATGTGGTAAATTATTTCTTTCCTGTTAGCAGATGTCTTCAGAGAACAATGTCACAGAAGTAGAATAGTTCACACCATGCAAACATGCACACATTCTCTGTGTGGGTTTAAACAGTAGATTTGAATGCTAATTTAGCCACTTTTCAGCTGCGTGACTCTATGTGACTCATAAAGTTTTCTTTGAGCCTTTCTTTCTCTTGAGTAACACTGTAACACTGATACTGAGCTAGATGAGGAAAAAGGCATGTAACAAAGCTCTAGCCCAGGACTGAACAACAGGTACTCAGTAAAAGAAGTGTAATTCCTTCTCCTTCTCATGATGAAAACAAACCATCCTGGGTGAGGTGGTTATCCTGAATTTAAAATGTGAAAATCATGTTTGTATTTGTCCTTTGTGAACGCTAACTCTTAGGTGAAGAAGCTGTTCATATAATTCTAGGCTAAAAAAAAAAAGAAAAGAAAACACTTTCTAAATGAAAGAATCAATGGCTAGATGAATGGATACTTACCTATTTTGGTTATAGGTACAAACTGGTGTTCCTGTCAAAGCTTTAGTTTTGGTCTAGTAATAATTACTTGTAGATCTGGATACAGTCATTTTAAAACTAATAGTTTCTACTTAAGATATAACATGGATACAGAGCTTTAAAATATTTATTTTATTAGGTAGTTGTATACAGGAGTTTCAATTCCAGAAGTCAAGCTACGAGGACAAAACCTCTTGATCAGTGTCACTCCTTTCATCATTCCCCACCTCATCCCTACCCTCAAGTTACATAGTTCAATTTTTACTTAATATATGTTGGATTAAATGGGTGCATTTGCTCATCCTTCCTCCATTTGTGTGTCCCCCTCTTGGAGCATACTTTAGATGTCATTCATCAGCCTCCACAACGAGCTGCTGTCTTTCAGTTGAAGTCCTTATGTATGAGTTGAGATTTCATCAATCAAAACTTGGGTGTGTGTGGCCAGATAAAATATAAGATACATCTTATACTTTCAAAAGATTAACGAATGGTATTTTAGTATTATGGTTTCATAAGGAAGTATTTTTGTCTACTAGAAATTTAAAGAGACAATCTCCTAAGATGCTGGAGTAGAGAGAGAATCCTATGTTTTTATGTACCAAGTCTGGCCATATTACTTTTCAGGCAAGGCCAGAATTAGAAGATAAATTCCACATATCACCCATCACCAGAGTTCAGTGGCATAAGGGCTGCCCTGCTTTCATTACTTTTATCTCCAGGAAATAAAGATCATTCAAGTCTTAATCTTTCCAATGTCTCTTTTCTAAGAGCTGAAAGATCACTTGAAGGTAATGTTATGGAGCATTTATAAAGTCCTTATTTATTATAAAATTAAAAGGTGATGTACAAGTGACAGAATTTATTTGCACTCACTATAAGTATACTATTTCTTTTTTTAGTATATATTTTTATTGTAAAGATACTGTATAGAGGAGTTAGTTACATGAGTAAGGTAATGAGTACATTTCCTATCAAGCATTGTTACTTCCTCCCTTGTTTTTCCCCTACCATCCTTTCCCTCCCACCTCCCCCAACTCTTCCCTCCCCCACCAGAAGTTGTAAAGTTAGTTTTCAACATAGTGTCTTGCACATCTCATTGTTACAATGAGTCAACCTGTATCCTTATTTTGGCATTTTGTTATTTCCCTTCCCCTCCCTATCTTGGGATACATTTTGCTTAGCATCATCTTATATGGTCATATATACATAGCTTTTGACCATTTCTGTTTGTCCTAGACATATACTAGCTATTGCAAATAAGGGAAAGCATGGGGTCTCTGTTTCTATTTCTAATCATACAAAGAATTATAATAGCTGGACACTGTTGGCTCACACCTGTAATACTAGCTACTCAGGAGCCTGAGATCTAAAGATCAAGGTTGGAAACCAGCTGGGGCATTAAAGTCAATGAGACTCTTATCTCAATGAACCACCAAAAAAACTGGAAGTAGCGCTGTGGCTCAAAATGGTGACAGTGGCCAGGCCTTGTGTTCTGTCCCTATGACCAACAACAACAACAAAAAAAGAGTACTAGAAGGTTGAAATCAATCAAAGTATGTGATATGCATGCATGGAAATATCACAGTGAAATCATTTGTATGTTTATGTAGTTTTTATATACTATTAAAAATAATGATATACCTTTTTAGTGGTTAAAAAAGAATTATATCTAAGTTTCTGCTTTGTTTTTTCAGAGGACAAACCTAGTGATAATTCAGAAGACAAACACGATGACAAACCAGATGACTCAGGAAAAGAGACAGACTTCCCCAAATTCCTAAGTATCTTGGGCACAGAAATCATTGAAAATGCATTTGACTTCATCTTACGATCCATGCGTGGGGGATCCTAATCACTAAGACAAACTGCTTGCATCCCTGTTCACTCTTGAAAATAATCACATTGCATTAAAATTAATAAATAAAGGTGGCAAAGGCCAAAAGCATTATTTTTCATTGAAAACCATTTACCTGAATGTTTTGCATCTGAATGAATGCTCTGAATTCTTTTGGGTTAAGCTCATTCCCACCAAGTAGTTCCACAAAATATTTTTTAAAATCTCAGACAGGAGGAAGAGCATTGGACCAGAGAACAGGAAGACAATTCTGAGCCTGACTTAGATGCAATGTGTGCTGTGTACAGTTTGCACCTTGAGTAGCCCTAAAGGGTTAATGGATCACTGGGTAATCTCTCCTTGGTATGCATCTGGGTGCTTTGATTGTAATGGATAGAGAACTTTCATCCATCCTGGAGACTTTCTGATTTCTCAGTCTACTTGTAAGTCCCTGCCTGGCTAACTCTGGTTTTTACATTATTACTGTACCTTTGGCTTCATTTTTCTCATGTTAATTTCTCTGATTCCAGCTTTCCAAGATCAAATTCACTGATCAGTACTTCTTGGAGGTTTCCTTTCACCATTCTAAGCTTCTAGTCGCTCATTCTCTCTTAACTAGATTTCCTGTGAAGAACTTGAACAAATGTGTTATATTAGCCACCTACCTCGGGAGCTACTGTAGAACTTCATATTCTTTAAATAGATGGATTCATATAGTCCACCTTGCATCTAAGTTAGGGGACAGGAGAATGCAGTCATAAAACTCAATGCATATCCTGAAAAATTAAGAAAATTTAGGGAAAGCAAAGGGTTAGGAGGGATCGGGAGAAGATGAAAGAGGTGACAAGGATCATGACGCACTCTGTTTATAAACTGGCTTGTTGAAGGGCAACTCCTTTGTACAGCTACTTAATGATTTTTTTAAGGAGAAGCTTTGCAAGTGGTTTTGATATAAAAGTCATACTTTGTAGGATGTCCTGAGCTACATAGCTGGGCCTGAAAGTTCTGTATAGCCTTTAAAGTTTTAATCATATTTTAGGTACATAGGAATTCTTACAGTTTTTTTTCCTGAGTTTGGATTTATGGCTTCTATTAGGTTCTTCAGTTTAATGAACAACAAATAAAAAGCCATAGCTACATAAGAGTAACTGGGTCTTTCTGTCATATGTTTGGGCAGAGCTCTCAAATGATCTCCACAATTGTAAGAAGGCACAGGTGCTTCATTTTCACTGTTATAGTCTCTATTTTGGTTGATTTTGCATGTTCCCATGATTGTTAATAAAAATGAGAAGAAAAGTTAAAAGGAAGTATACAAAGTCCAGATTAGACCCCAGCTGAATTAATACCATCCCATTAGCAACACAAAGAAGCAAATCAATGGAACAACAATATGTCTTTCTATTCATTCCTTAAGAAGTTTTTTAAAAAATATATGAAGTGGCACATTTTTCAGCATTAACTTGAAAGGTTTACTGTCCAGTTCATTAAGGAAATACTGCATGCTCTGAGCTCAGCAGTAGCACTAGGCTTGCTCTTTCTTTTCGTTTTCTCATAACTACCCTTAGGCCTGCAAGTCCTCTATAAGCACCTCCTCAGAAGACTAGTATACTCTTCTATCAACCTTTCCAGGCACACACTGTGTTATTCTCTGTCACTTCACTTTGTGATGTTGTCATTATAACATGACACATCTGAAAACGCTTATTTGTTTCACTGGAGTAGCTAAAGAAAAAAGAAAAAAAAACAGATAGGTCTGTTTAGCATAATATTGGCCCATAGCCTCCAGCACTCAGTAAATAATGGTTTAATTAATTAATTAAGGCAATAAGTATTGGAGGTTATACCTAAAGCCCATTTATCCCAAATTAGACTAAAAAAACCCTGCAAGATTGTCTCTTCTCTGGTCCTTCTCTAAGACAGTCAATCTAGCTGATGTCATAGACAAGACAGAATACCTATCTAAGTTTCCCTGTCTGAAGAGGAATAGATGTATTGAAGCTGAGGAATGGAAAGATGCCATTATCAAGTATCACCAAAAACTTTCAATATACACCAAGATGAGAATTGTGAAGGAGAAATACGAATAGTTAAAAAAAATAAATCTAGATTGTAAATGAGAACAAAAATACCCAATGAGAGAAATCTCAGCTAAATCTCAGCTATGTCTAAGCTGTCAATGCAATCAATATGCTTAGGGAAATATTTATGGCCATGTGAGATGAAATTGAAGCCTTATTTAATGAATGAGTTTTGCTGAAAAAGAAAGAGTGAGAGGAATGGATGGGATTCATAAATATGTGAGTCTTTCTTTCATCTTTTTCTCTATCTAACTATCATCTATCTATCTGTCTGTCTGTCTGTCTGTCTGTCTCATTCTATCTAATCTCTCTTGTCATCTATCTATCTAATCTATCTCTCTATCTCTTTAACTATCCTAAATTCCTTTCATTCACTGAGAAATCTGAAATTGTGGTGACTATTTCCCCCTGTCAGGGCTGTGACACATTTCCGCTTCTCTCTACTATCTTTTCTCATTAATTTTGACTTTTTTTTTAATGTACCTGACCCTTATTGACATCAGCCCACAAGGTTGCAAATATACCTGAGTTTTTTATATAGTAGCAGCTTTCACATCGGGAATATTCCATACAATCTGATAAATTTAAAAATGAGATCTCTATTTTATTCTTTTGCCCAAGCACCAGACTGGACTAATTTCTTACTATAAAACTCCAGGGCTGGGAAGGTGGCTCAGTGGTAGAGCACTTGCCTTGCATGCCTGAGGCCCTGGGTTTGATTCCTCAGCACCACATAAGCAAAAAGAAAAAAAGCTGGAAGTGGTGCTGTGGCTCAAGTGGTAGAGCGCTAGCCTTGAGCTGAAGAGCTGAGGGACAGCGCCCAGGCCCAGAGTTCAGGCTCCACGACTGGACAAAAAAAAAAACTCCATTAAATTTTCCACCACATCCTCATATTAGGTATTTAAACACAAACCTGTCCTGTCACTGGGAAATCTTCTCTCCATTATCTTGGGAAAGTTTGCACCTATTCAATCAGAAAGCTCAAGGTTTTCTCAACTCCTCCATGCTTATCAGCACTTCCAGAATATTCTATCCTTTCTTTTGTGCTATTCCTTTTCTTTAATACAAATGATGACTTTATCTAATTGAATCCTCCAGTATGATCTCTTTCCTGAGTTCTGTTTTATCAGATTTCTGACTAGTTTTGCTGTTTTCTGTTGCTCCTCACTCCAATATACCTTCTACCTACCACCAAAGCATTTTATGAAAAACACAAATTTGGTCATGTCACTCTTAAGCAGTGAATAATGGCTGAAGATCTAAGTCAAGCTTATGTTTAGTCCTTCAGGCATGGGATTGGGAAATGTTATGTTTTTCAATTCCAGGGTCTTTATCCTTCACCTAAAAAGTAACAGAAATTCATTCAAAACGTTTATTAATTTGTAGCATGCCAGGGACAGTTCTATGTTCCGGGACTATATTACTGAAAGAGCATCCCAAATGTCTGGTCTTTATGGAGTTTATACATGAAAGAACACTTGAGATACCTTACAGGTTTGTTGAGCAGAGAAAATAAATAATTTTGTATATGTGGCCTGTCAACTTGAACTAACATGGAAACTTTTGGTTTATTTTCATCTAACAAGAAAAGCTGGAGAAGAAAATGATGGCTCCATCACTATATGACACCTCAGTTCTAGATGCAGGTTTAAATGATTCTAGACAACCCCAGAGGCTGAGGAAAGATGACTGCAAGTTTGAGGCCACACTGGACAACACAGTTGTGTTGCTTTTTCTTCTTTCTTTAAGACAACTTAGTGATAATTCCTACATTTCTTTTCCATCTAAACTATAACTCATTTTTTTTCTCTTAGTTATTTCTTCCATTAAAGAAGATATATAGAATCTGGTGACAAACCAGAACAAACCTCATAGTAACTTCCTAAAGTGACTTTAATTTGTAATTAGCTTATTAGACATGAAAAAGAGTTTTTGTTTAATGATTTGTGTTACACATGTGTAACTATGGGCATAAAGGTATTTTTTTTGCTCTTGCTTTGTTTTATTCTTCCTTTTTTAAAAAGCTAGTTCTAGGGCTTGAACTCGGGGCCTCAGACTCTCACTTGGATTTTTGGCTTAAGGCTGGTGCTCTACCACTTGAGCTACATCTCTAGGCTGTTTTGCTAGGTAATTGGATATACAAGTCTTTTGGATTTGTCTCTTTGGGCTGGCTTCAAATCTCAATTTTCAGATCTCAACTTCCTAAGTAGTTAGGATTACAAGTGTAATTGGTCTTATTGTAATGTTTTGTTTTTATTGTTGTTTATCTTAGATGTACTGAGATACTCAGGCCTTCATGCTTGCTAGGCAGGCACTGTACAATTTGAACCATGCCTTTAGCCCTTTTTGCCTTAGTTATTTTTGGGGTAAGTTCTAGTGGTTTTGTGCAGGACCCATTTTGAGCAGTAAACCTCCTGCATCTTGTCTCCTGCATACCTGGGACTGTAACATGTACCATAATTCTTGGCTTATTGATCGAGATGGAATCTGACTAGGTTTTTGGATGAATTGTCCTCAAATTATGATTCTCTTGATCTCCTCCTCCTAAGTTGGCATGAGCCAACAGAACACTTTATTAATAAAATTAATTTTAAGTGGATATAGTTTTATCATCCTACTTGCTAACTTAATGAAATTCTCTTAAGAGAGGGGGCAAAGTGTAGGATAAAACAAGTAAGGATTGGAGTTTACAATATTGGGTTCCTGTCCCAAGTCTCCTAGGTACTTGCTGTGTCAACATTCTGTAACTTCTTCAAAAAGCAGAAAAAATCCTACTTATAAAGAGAAATTGGAGAATATAATACATGATTGGTTTGATGGTGCTTGGGTCTGTGTTAAGGGTCCACATGATGACGAAGAGCATGTGATCTAGCAGAACTATTCAGCTCTTAAAAAATAAAGAGGTTCATTTTCACCATAGTGTCCTGTACGTGTCATTGA